AACAAGACCTCTCACCAACCACCTTCTGGGCTGCTGCATCCCCTGCCTATTCCAACCCGTCCATGGTCCCATATAGCTATTGATTTCGTTATCGGTCTCCCGATTTCCAAAGGTATGTCCACTATCCTAACCATTGTCGACCGTTTTTCCAAGGCCTGTCATTTAATCCCCCTCAGGAAACTACCCACTGCATTCCAGACTGCCCAACTTCTCGTGAAGCATGTTTTCCGCCTCCATGGAATACCTCAAGAGATCCTCTCAGATCGTGGTCCCCAGTTCATCTCACAGGTCTGGAAAGCTTTCTGTTCAGCTCTTAATTGCAAGTCCTCTCTCACCTCTGGTTACCATCCTCAGACAAATGGGCAGATGGATAGGATGAACCAACAACTCGAATCCACTCTCCGCTGCCTAACATCAAACAATCCGACTGACTGGAGTCAGTTCCTGACATGGATCGAGTACGCACATAATTCTCAGCAATCTGCTTCTACCGGTTTATCCCCTTTCCAAGTCTCAATAGGTTATCAGCCCCCACTCTTCCCTGCAGACGGGAGAGAGATAACGGTTAGATCAGTCCACCACCACATCCGCCGCTGTCAGCGCATTTGGAAAGACACCATCACCACCCTCAACCGCTCATCTGCCTCAGCTAAAAGATTTGCTGACTCCAAACGGCGTCCTGCTCCTGACTATACCCCTGGGCAAGAGGTATGGTTGTCGACACGTGACATTCCTCTCAAGGCCATGTCAAAAAAGCTCTCACCTCGATTCATTGGTCCTTACAAGATTGCTCAAATTATTAATCCCTCTGCTGTCCGCCTGCACCTGCCACCGTCTCTACGCATCCACCCAACTTTTCATGTTTCTCAGATCAAACCTGTCATCACAAGCTCTTTGTGCCCACCTTCCGACTCCCCTCCACCCGCCCTGGACATCGATGGTCATCCAGCATTCACAGTTCGCCGGATCGTGGACTCCCGTCGGCGAGGTCGCGGCTGGCAGTACCTTGTCGACTGGGAGGGCTACGGTCCGGAGGACCGCACCTGGGTTCCTGGCTCATTTATCCTCGATCCGTCCCTGATCGAGGATTATGAGAAATCCCTCCTGTCCACATCCTCGGGACCGCCAAGAGGCGGTCATTGAGAGGGGGGTACTGTTGGGATCTGGAGATTCACCACCTTTCTCCAGCAGAGTGTGCTGTGGGTCTCCTGGGCTGGAGCCCTCCAGCACACCTGACGCTCATCAGCCCATCAGGAGACCTTCCTGCATAAGCAGCAGCCAGACCTTCCTTCAACGTCGCAGTGTTGACAAAGTTTGGTTAGCGAACCTGAGCCTCTGTTATTCTGATAGAATCTTAGTTGTCTCTAGAGAGAAATCTGATTCTAATCTGCTTCTGTCTTCTTGCTCACAGGAAACTCGTCTAAACCTAAAGCTCTGGATGAGCTTTGCCTGTAAACCTGTCTGCCTGCCTAAGGGAGCCAAACCTGTAGATCTCAATCTGGACTCCTCCTGCTGCTCTCAAGGAAGAGCTGGAATCTCAAACCAAGGTCTGCCACTCATAAGTCAGAAGCTAGACGCTGCTGCTGCTGAGCACTCTGCTGAACCAACAGTCTCTGGACCCAACCAGTTCCCTCTCTCACAAAGATCTGTCTGGACCTCTTCAAGTTATATTCTGAATAATCTAAATTCAACAAACCATCTGACTGCCTGGCTAATCAAACTAACCGTCTCTGCAGACATCAGTGAATCCAGTCCCGGACCAGTGCCTGACCCAGTTCATGTTCTTTGTGTGAAAACCTTCAATAAACTCTGTTAAACTTTTACTCTGCTTCCAGTGGTGTTCTGCATGTGGGGTAAGTCTCTTAAGCCAATCATGACAGACATAAGTTTATAAATAATATAAATTACATATCTATTAAATAATCAGCATCTCTGTCGAGTGTGATATATTTTATTTCCATGCTTTATACTCTATTTTATCTGGTAATTAGATGCATATTGAATCTGAATGTCTCCTGACATAAATGTTGCAGAGCTGTGGTTATAGAGTAGAGGATTGAAGTTGTCTTAACTGGGCTTCTTGCTAGTTGATCTCTGTATTAAACCTTCACACTAATATTCCTCTCTTATATATGTGCTTGTTACATTTCATATTTGAAAAATATTGGTGGTTTATAAAGCTTATGTTATGCTCTCTACAAGCCCATATTCAATTTATCAGTGTTGATTTGGATTTACATGTTATTTTATGGTTACCAATGGCAACCACAGAGAATAGAGCAAAGGAAAAACTGTTTAACTGAGGCAAAAAATTACGTCCTGGTGTAACAGTGAAAAGTCTGATAAATAAGTCTGGTAGCTACAGTAGTGAGGTAACAAATACAATTCTGAATGGAAACATAATAAGAGCTGTGATAACTCTCCGACCTGTGATTTATGGATAATATGACAGAAACTTCCCTAAAGTTGCTTTCGGCAGAAATAAATCATGGTTGATTATAGTTAACACCTGTGGTAAAATTTTTACAGGTAAGAGCCGACAGGAACCTGCAGGCTTGAACAGGAACCACCATTGGTAAATGGGAACCACTAGTGGTGAACGGGAACCATCTGTGGTGAACGACAACCAGCAGTGGTGAACGCGAACCACTAGTAGTGAACGGGAACCATCTGTGGTGAACGAGAACTAGCAGTGGTGAATGGGAACCACTAGTGGTGAACGGGAACCATCTGTGGTGAACGAGAACCAGCAGTGGTAAACGGGAACAACTAGTGGTGAATTAGAACCAGCAGTGGTGAACGGGAACCACTAGTGGTGAATGGGAACCATCTGTGGTGAATGGGAACCACCAGTGGTGAACGAGAACCATCAGTGATTAACGGGAACTACTAGTGGTGAATGGGAACCAGCAGTGGTGAACTAGAACCAGCAGTGGTGAATGAGAACCAGCAGTGGTGAACAGGAACCACTAGTGGTGAATTAGAACCAGCAGTGGTGAACGGGAACCACTAGTGGTGAATGGGAACCATCTGTGGTGAATGGGAACCACCAGTGGTGAACGAGAACCATCAGTGATGAACGGGAACTACTAGTGGTGAATGGGAACCAGCAGTGGTGAACTAGAACCAGCAGTGGTGAATGAGAACCAGCAGTGGTGAACAGGAACCACTAGTGGTGAACGGGAACCACTAGTGGAGAACGGGAACCACTAGTGATGAATGGGAACCAGCAGTGATGAACGGGAACCACTAGTGGTGAACGGGAAAAACTAGTGGTGAATGGGAACCAGCAGTGGTGAACGAGAACCAGCAGTGATGAACGGGAACCACTAGTGGTGAACGGGAACCACTAGTGGTGAATGGGAACCAGCAGTGGTGAACGAGAACCAGCAGTGATGAACGGGAACCACTAGTGGTGAACGGGAACCACTAGTGGTAAACGGGAACCACTAGTGTTGAATGGGAACCAGCAGTGGTGAATGAGAACCAGCAGTGATGAACGGGAACCACTAGTGGTGAACGGGAACCACTAGTGGTGAATGGGAACCAGCAGTGGTGAACGAGAACCAGCAGTGATGAACGGGAACCACTAGTGGTGAACGGGAACCACTAGTGTTGAATGGGAACTAGCAGTGGTGAATGAAAACCAGCAGTGATGAACGGGAACCACTAGTGGTGTACGGGAACCACTAGTGTTGAATGGGAACCAGCAGTGGTGAATGAGAACCAGCAGTGATGAACGGGAACCACTAGTGGTGAATGGGAACCATCTGTGGTGAACGGGAACCACTAGTGGTGAATGGGAACCATCTGTGGTGAACGGGAACCAGCAGTGGTGAACTGGAACGAGAAGTGTTGAATGGGAAGCATCTGTGATGAATGGAAGCCAGTAGTGGTGAACGGGAACCACTACTGGTGAACTGCAACCACCAGCAGTGAAATGGAACCACGAGTGGTGAACGAGAAGCCCCAGTGGCGACAGGAACCATCAGAGAGGTGAGAGGAACCATTAGAGTGGTGAACAGGAACCAGCAGTGGTGAGTAGAACCATCTGTAATAACCTAAAAAGGCTATAAATCTAGGTAAGCAGCTCACTTCTTTCTATGAGATTGTTTTTTAGCAAAGAAGAGAGAATTTGGCTCCATAATTGTATCAGATGTTTAGATTACTGTTTAAATGAGAATAAGGTGCCTGCAGCATGAAGCCAGATACAATTTGAGAGTTTTCTCAAAATGTTGGTGTGGGGATAAATGGCTGTTCTCCTGTTTTTAATGAAATATTTTTTTATCAATCATCTCCAGAGGCTCTAGAGACACCTAAGAACCAATCTTCTTAAATAACTTGCTGTTTTTTAAGTCATTTTAAGTCCTTTGCTCTGAAGCTGTTACCCAGCAGATGAAAGCAAAAGAGATCCAACTCTCCACAACAGACTGAAAGAAGATCTAACACTGAAGGACCTCAGCTTCCTCTAGAAGTCCAGTCGGCTCTGTCTGTTCCTATCTAGGAACTGACTCCCCAGTAAGGTCTTGATTCCAGAGCAACTCTTCCAGCCGCTTCAGCTCTTCTCTCATGATGAAAAGGTGGTTTAACAGACAATTGTTTAGTTCTTATTCGGGATCAGGATTGTTTCCACACCATGCTACCTGCTCCTTGTACTCAGCTTATTGTCAGTCTCTGCAGAGTCATCTTAGTGTCCTGTGCTTTTGAACCTCCTGCTGACAGAAACCCTTAGTCCCACAAACCCAATTTTGAAACCTGAACCTTTAATTAAATAACTATTTAGTAAATTGGTAGATTATTTAATATAGGTCAGTATGATGAATAATTATTGATAGATAACGTTATGACAGGCAGATTCTTCAATCAGTGTATGAATGTCTGGCTCTGCTGTCCCTTAAATGTGACTGAATATTGAAGAGAAATTAAAAATCGAAATTAAAATGCTGCAAACATTACAATCCTGCATGCCTTTAAAGCCAACCTGCTTGGTGTTTACTAACCTGGCCACAGGGTGCAGGTCCACAGCACAAGGAGAGGGTGAAAATCCATGAGTCGTATTCAAAGGAAACACAAAGCAGAGTGAGAGAGTTTCTGGTTTCAGACTGGTCTGTTCCCTCTGCTGCTCTGATGTTGGACAGAGACGTTGAGGAGGTGCTTAGAGTAGTAATCGCACCTCTTTCTGACTCACTCACACTGCAAAAACAATCTAGAAATAAGCAAAAAAGTCTTAAAGTGTCCTTCCCTAAATTGGGCAGGTAAATAAGATGATTTGCCAATGGAATGAGCTTTTTTTAACTCTTAAAATAAGGTAATTAGATAATATGTAGTTGAAATAAGTCAATGTAATTGTTTTTTCTTATTATAAATGTAAATAGTTGTGTTCCATTGGCAAAGTGTCTCACTCACCTCCTCAATTCAAGAACAAATGCATTTATTTTAAGAAAAAATTACTTATTTTGACTTAATTTTTTTGCAGTGCATGTGGCTGCTCTGCTCACAGAGACGTCCTACATCACCTTACACCTCACCATTTCTCTTCCAAAGAAAGTAGCTTTAATCTGTGTGGCGCTGCAAAAAACAGGAAATTCCTCCAACTGTCTGTGATTCGGCTCAGACCAGATGTGCCTTAATGTACTTAAAATGAAAAAAAGTCTGTCAAGAACTCAGATGCTCTGTTCGTATCGACTCCCTTAAAGCCAGCTGTGCCTGAATGAAGTCTGTATTTCTTATGTTGTACAACGTACAACTTATTAAAGTCGTAGGGAAGTCATATTTAAATATCAAATCATTCTGGCTTAATGTATATAAATGTGCTCTCTATCAGACCATATTGTCCCAAAAGTTAGAAAATTTCTATTTAAAAAAAAAAATCCTGTCTTAAAATCTGTGTTTTTTTCCGTTACCTTATGTAGGCCACTTAGTTATATGTCATCCTGAACACCTAAATTCAGCCAATCATAAATAAACGGTCATCTGTCAATCTAATTTTTTCGGTCATAGCATCTTGATTCAAGTTGCAGCTAATATACGCAACGGTTGAAATAAGAAATCAGAATCATTTCCTTTCCCATTGAGTTCCGTCCCAGTGTTCACTGGGATGGACGTCTGTGTCTTCAGTAGGCGTAGAGCTAACAGAACTGGCAGCGTTGCGAGGCAAGGGCTCAAACATGTACGGCTGGAAGCCTTCTACACCAAACCAAGCTTCTGCCGCCCTGGCGTCCTCTTCCACAACATCTTCGTGCCCGCTTTCCTCCTCTAAATAAAAAATGGATGACGGAGGAGACTCATCCAGGACCTCCCAAACTAAACTCTCCTCCTCTTGCATGTTTCCTCTGTCCATAGCGTTCCTTGACAGTGTCGTTTCTAAGTCACCAATTTAGTGCTACTTGGTCCCAATGGAATTTCCCATTGGGAACCTACTAGCACTAAGTTGCTAACTGGTTAGCAAGATGCCGGACACAACCCGACTTGCTTACGAACCTTCCGCCACAACAATCCCGCCCCCTTGATAATCGACCAATCACATTCACTTTATTCATTCGTGTAAAGTCGGGCACCACTCGGGAGAATTCAGAAATGCAACGGTTTTCCTACGACTTTAAAAAAAGAAAACTGACAACTGCAGATATGAAGTGCAATGTGCAAAAATGAAAAAAATAAACTGGTTCGCTTTTGTACACAACTGCAGCACTGCATTAGACCAACACAAGTTGGAAACAGAAGACTGTGAATTTGTCTGACATTTAAAGATTTTTAGCAAGGAACAATGGCCTGTTCACATGATCTGGTTTCAGGGATGCTTGCAGAAAAAATGTCACTATATTACTGAAGCATGCTGGTGAAGATTCTCAGTCATCCAGGTTGGTGTGGTAAGCCTAGCGCCATTCTCCCCGCTTTACAAGCAGCATCAATGGGAACTACTAGACACATCTGCAATCAACAACAATTACTGAAGATTTCCAGAGGACTTCACCATTGAAATTCACCAGAGCTACTGTATATACAGGTGCTGGTCATAAAATTAGAATATCATGAAAAAGTAGATTGATTTCAGTAATTCCATTTAAAAAGTGAAACTTGTATATTATATTCATACATTACATACAAACTCATATATTTCAGATGTTTATTTGGTTTAATTTTGATGATTACAAATGACAACAAATGAAAATCTCAAATTCATCATATCAGAAAATTAGAATATTACTGAAGACCAATAAAAACAAAGGATTTATAGAAATGTTGGCCAACTGAAAAGTATGAACATGAAAAGTATGAGCATGTACAGCACTCAGTATTTAGTTGGGCCTCCTTTGGCCTGTATTACTGCAGCAATGCGGCGTGGCATGGAGTCGATCAGTCTGTGGCACTGCTCAGGTGTTATGATAGCCCAGGTTGCTCTAATAGTGGCTTTTAGCTCTTCTGAATTGTTGGGTCTGGTGTATTGCATCTTCTTCTTCACAATACCCCATAGATTTTCTATGGGGTTAAGGTCAGGAGAGTTTGCTGGCCAATTAAGAACAGGGATACCATGGTCCTTCAACCAGGTACTGGTAGCTTTGGCACTGTGTGCAGGTGCCAAGTCCTGTTGGAAAATGAAATCTGCATCTCCAAAAAGTTGGTCAGCTGCAGGAAGCATGAAGTGCTCTAAAACTTCCTGGTATGTGGCTGCGTTGACCCTGGACCTCAGAAAACACAATGGACCAACACCAGCAGATGACATGGCACCCCAAACCATCACTGACTGTGGAAACTTTACACTGGACTTCAAGCAACGTGGATGAAGTGCCTCTCTTCTTTTCCTCCAGACTCTGGGACCTTGATTTCTAAAGGAAATGCAAAATTTACTTTCATCAGAGAACATGACTTTGGACCACTCACCAGCAGTCCAGTCCTGTTTCTCTTTAGCCCAGGCAAGACGCTTCTGACGCTGTCTGTGGTTCAAGAGTGGCTTGACACAAGGAATGCGACAGCAGAAACCCATGTCTTTCATACGTCTGTGTGTGGTGGTTCTTGAAGCACTCACTCCAGCTGCAGTCCACTCTTTGTGAATCTCCCCCACATTTTTGAATGGGTTTTGTTTCACAATCCTCTCCAGGGTGCGGTTATCTCTCTTGCTTGTACACTTTTTTCGACCACATCTTTTCCTTCCCTTCGCCTCTCTATTAATGTGCTTGGACACTGAGCTCTGTGAACAGCCAGCCTCTTTAGCGATGACCTTTTGTGTCTTGCCCTCCTTGTGCAAGGTGTCGATGGTCGTCTTTTGGACAACTGTCAAGTCAGCAGTCTTCCCCATGATTGTGTAGCCTATAGAACTAGACTGAAAGACCATTTAAAGGCTTTTGCAGGTGGTTTGAGTTAATTAGCTGATTAGAGTGTGGCACCAGGGGCCATCAATTTTGAACCTTTTCACAATATTCTAATTTTCTGATATGATGAATTTGAGATTTTAATTTGTTGTCATTTGTAATCATCAAAATTAAACAAAATAAACATCTGAAATATATGAGTTTGTATGTAATGTATGAATATAATATACAAGTTTCACTTTTTAAATGGAATTACTGAAATCAATCTACTTTTTCATGATATTCTAATTTTATGACCAGCACCTGTATCCATTCACCAACAGGCTCATTTATATTGCAAAGCTACTATGTGAAAGAAACGTGGAGAATAATTGTATTTTGTCTGTTCTCACCTTTTTACGTCATTCAACATTTCAGCTTATTCAAAAACATTTATTTCACCCAAGGAAAATAAGTACATAAGAAGCCACAATTGTCCCATTTAGCAGTTTCCACAAACCCAAGGTGAGTTCTTCCTGCATTTGCGACAGGTATACTTTGTGTAGTGCACACAACGCTCAGTGCTGTGGTTCCTGTTGCAGAGCTGCGCACCTGGCCTGCTTATAATATTAATAATCAAAAAATAGAGTTTAGCACATTTTCCCAAAGTAAGAGTTGTAGTATAACACAGATGAAGTTATCTGTGTATCCTACAAGTTTGGAGGCACTACAGTGATCTATAGTGTAGTCATTGCTCATTTTATACTAATTCTAGAAGTGCCATTTGTCATTTAGGCTTTGGAAATTCCTCAAAGTATTATTTTCGAATCCAATAAATGTGATAATAATCCACCTCTCCTTCATGATGGTTTTGAATATTTCTCTCTGATTATTTTGCAACTTGCAGACGGTCCCTAAGCTTTGCGGAGCAGTAGCTCCCCAAAGGGTCCAATGTAATTGCGCAATAGGAGACTACGGAGGAAACTACGGTTGTAGCTCACTGTCTACCTTAATGTGGTTGCAGAGAGGTGTCTGTTTTGTAGAATAAATCGTCCGCAGACGAGTTATTAATCCGTAAAAGCTGAATCTGTAAATATATTGCCAACTTTACTGCAGTTTCACGATGCTGTCCGCATGTCTGCAGAGGAGGAGAGAGAGAGGAGAGATCGCTTGAGTTGTATTTCCCCCCAAATAAATAAGCCAGATGGTCATTATTGTATAAATGGTCATTATTAAATAAATATATATATAAATATAAATATTGTCGCTTTCTACAGCTTTCCAGCTCATGCAGCTATTTTCATTGTACAGATCCGTTATCGTCTGATCGCTGCGCTGGTGGCTCCTCTGTCTAAAATCATTGTGGTGTTGTCAACACTGACGATGTAGACCTAGTAATAATTAAATGTAAATATGATTTGAGGGACTTGAGGTAAAACCGAAACTGAAGGGAGTGGAATGTTTCTCCAGCACGGTGCTAATGGGGCATTTACATCTGAAAAGGGATTCATGAGCTGATAAGTGATGTTGAGGGGAGTGGAAGCTGACGAAAATCCTTGTATCTTAAGACTTCTAGTGTTAAACTGAACTTGCAATATTCATCAGTGTTTGGCGCCAAGAACCATTTCCTCTGAGCACGGAGCAGCCGGCTTGCTTGGTCTCACAATGAATCCTGCGAAAACCAAGGCTATGGAGGATACATCGGACCCATCCTTTAAATCAGGCAAAAAGAAGGACTCATTTTAAGGCCACATACCGAGGAGTCTTGGAATTCGACCAGACCTCGGCACTGCGCTATGACGTCATCGGCCTTCGAATCTGGACTTCGGAGGATGCAGCCCATAAATT